TTATTCATTATGAATTTGTACCAACTGGACAAACAGTTAACCAAGTTTACTGTTTGGAAGTGCTGAAAAGGCTGAGTGAAAAAGTTAGATGAAAACGACCTGAACTTTTCACTAACAATTCATGGCTCTTGCATCATGACAATGCACCAACTCACACAGCACTGTCTGTATTTGTTTAGCCAGTACACAAATAACTGCATTGGAACACCCTTTCTACTCACCTGATCTGACCCCCCCAATGACTTCTTTCTTTACCCAAAGATAAAGGAAGTATTAAAAGGAAGACATTTGGATGACATTCAGTACATCCAGGGTAATACGACAACACTCTGATAGCCATTCCAGAAAGAGTTCCAAAATTGCTTTGAAGGGTGGACTAGGTACTAGTGTCAGTGCATAGCTTCCCAAGGGGAGTACTTCGAAGGTGTCTTTCAGCAATGAGATATGTATCACTTTTTCTAGGATGAGTTCGCAAACTTAATTGTCTGACCTCATATGTGTGTGTGTGTGTGTGTGTGTGTGTGTGTGTGTGTGTGTAGTGTGAGAGAGATTGAGATAGAGAATTTTTTTCCTTGTTTTAAAAGCAAACAGAATGCCGTGGTCTGCTGAAGAAAAATAAGCCTTCTGGCATTCCAAGTCTGAAGATAGAGGATATTTTTCCTGGATTTGTTATTTCTCCACAAACTTATTAAATTTATTTTATTTTTAACATTAATCTCAGGGATTGAGAAGTTGTGTTAGCAGAAGACTCCACGAGAAGGAACTTTTGCTAGCTAAGGGGATAAATATGTAATTGAAACTTGTTTAGTTAAGCTTAAGTAAGATTTACTTAAGAAACATAAGAAGGTATTGTTAGGGGCAGTGTGATCATCAGCTCATACCTTCCAACGTGTCAGGGGGAACATGGAAGAATAAGGATCACTCGGTAAGCAAGTACACGGCATAATAAGGTCAAGCAGGTCGGGAAGTTATGGAGCAAGAACCAACCTGAGAACACTGATAACCTGAAAGCAATATGTCTAATTTCAGGGCTGCAATAAGAAAGCTCAGAAACTTTTCATAGAGCAGAGAAAAATGTACACTTATATTAACATTTTATCTAGGATACTTCTATTAGGGTCTTTAAGTGTTAGGGTGGAAATTTGGGATTAGACCTAGTCATTCTAATTTTCATTCCAATGGCTATAATCAATGGCTTTCATGATGGCTCTGGGGAGAAAGAGGGGAAATCAAAGAATGTTGAAGTTTCCTGTGAAATCGAGATGAAAGTTATAGGCAAGTGCAACATTTTTAAATGTTTCATTTAAAGGACACATGCCTTGTAGATCAACAACCAACATTAAGGAAACCAAGATGTAAAACTTACTACAAAGCTTATCTTCACAGTTATATGGACAGTCTCCACATGGACTTCCCTTCTGATAAGGTTCATTTTTTTTGTCAGGTTCATTTCCCCTTAAAAAAATAAAGGAAAAAATGGTCTAATAAAATTGACGTTTGGAAAATGCATATAGAATTTACTCACTATTTACAATCAATTTTAAGAACAACTTTTGAAAACCACTTATACATAACAATGATAATCTTTAAGATGTGTTTAAGATTTTTAGGCTTACAATGTTGATAATTTATCTTTATGATGTACAACAGGCAACTCTGGTGTCCTAAGAATATTTTGAAAGGGTTTGCATATCTTTGGACAGTCAAATCTTAACAAGACTGGGACCTGTGAACAGTCAAGCCCTAAGAAGAGAAGGGCATTAGAGCCATTTATAATAGGAGACTTTTCATTACTTACACACATAAAGACTAGATAAACAATCATGTAAAGGGCGTGGTTCTTAACAATGTTAAGAAACATTTTAAGTGAGTGGAGATGTTTTAATTTCATCTTGCACTATGTCATAAGAAACTCGATACATGTTAGTGTCCTTTATAGAAGTAAATGAAGTACTATGAAAAATAAAAGTACATCAGCAAGGCTAAATCTAAAGTGTTGGAAGACAAAGTGCAAAGATGAGAATTTCCAGTTCTGAGAAACTTGAAATTTCAGAGAAGACAAGCTTACCAGCAGATATCCAAGAAAACAATGTGGATTCTAGCTGATTCTTAACTTAATATCACTTAAAAAATGAAGTAAATGTTCTAGTTGAGAGAACATTCTATATATTTTTTTCTCTTTTATATTTAAATTGCTAAAATTTTACTTTCTAAGAGAAACTTATTACTTAATTTGGTAAAGCATTTTGTCAGATACTTGGTCAAAGTTTTGGCCAAAAGAATTCTCCTATCACAACTTCATATATGCTACTTTTTTTTGTATTGTCAAAAGTTCACCGCAGACCACCAGCCCCTTCAAAGACTTCGTACAATTTGTATGTTATAGATGCAGCAGATCTTACTTTCCTCAGCACTAATTACATAGATAATAAAATTACAACAAATATTAACTACTGAAATCAAGACATGGTAATACCAGAAATAACTCATATAGAGTTATCATATGCGTATGTTGCACATATTGAATCTATAGTGACATTGGAGACTTCATTTAAAGTGTAAAGGTGACAGCATAGTATCAGATAAATCATTTTCATTGGTTCATATTGAACATCATTTATTGTGTGGCACACATGGGAGACAGCAGTTAAACACCATGGGGCAAAGGAGTACCCCTACCCCTCACCGAAACAATCAGATTATTTCTTTTAGGGATTGTTGCATGGTTGATAACATGTAAATTTGATTTCTAAAGAAAAGACATATACCAATAGTTACACTAAAAAGCTAAATACAAGAACACTTGCTTTTTCTGTTCATTCTTGATACTCCTTGCATTTCTGTCCTTGAATTCTAAAAGTATTCTGTTGAAGTAAATATCCTTGTTTCTTTGCTTAAGCTAGCTCAAACTTGTTTCCTTTAACTAATATTACTTGAAGAATCAATAACAACACTAATGGTAATAGTTCTAAGTTCAAACATTCTAGTAATGATATACAGATTTATTTAGAAAAACATGATGTAAAGAAAAGTGTGTGTGTGTGTGTGTGTGTGTGTGTGTGTGTGTGTGTGTGTATAAAATGTTGTAGGTATTGGTAAATGACATTTGATCTCTAAAGTTCTGTTTAACTGAAATAAAATATTTATTTGATTTTTATTTTATAATTTTGAGAAACTAGGTTAAGAGAGAGAGACATATTTCTGAAAGCTATGAAACACCAAGCTGTACAATACGTACTCATGACAATAGTGACAAACATAGAGATATTGAGGTGTTATTCTTTTGCAACATAATGACACTCCACAGCCAATGAGGTAAGAAGTAGCCCAAACAAGCTGTAAAAATAAAGAGATTATTTTATTATTAATTTGATATTTTGCCAAATGACTACAATATGAATACTGTTATTTATGATTGAAAGTACACACCCTTGCTTTTAGGACACTTTGAGCATAGTTTACAAGGAAGTCATAGAAATAGAAATATTCCCATGTTTTTAGATAATACACATACATATGCATGTTCAGTGGCTATCATTGACTCTGGGTATTCTCTTCTTATCATATCTATTTGGAAAATCAGATAACATGATAAAGGCTACTTGGTGATTATATAAAAATCAAAACCTAGAGGAAACTTTACTTAATCATTGGAGAACAAGCATAGTGCAGAGCAATGATTTGCAAAACGGTGGAATGGTAGTACCATGATATCCCATAATATTGTAGTTTTATAGGACAATATCTTTATAATTAGGGAATACATGTTGACACACTGAAAATTAAGTGTCATAATATCTGTAACTTACTTTTAAAGGATTCAGAAAAAAATATATATACTTTTATAGAGAGATAAAAAAAATTTGATGAAATGTTAAGAATTGGTGAATCTAAGTAATGAGTATTTATTATACCTTATTGAAAACTTTTTGTAAGCTTGAAATGCTTTAAAATAAAAATCTGGGGAAAAAAGAATGATGGCCGAAAAGTAATGGATTAGGAAATTCCAAACGCTCATTTTTGCATGGACATATTTAAAAAAAATTAACTAATAGAGACTGGCTAACATAACTTCATATGAGCTGTGGGACTGTCAAAGATTTATAGCAACCAAGTGAGCCCCAAATCAACAAAAAAGGATAATCAAAATGATAGGAAATTTCATGGTGTTTTTACTCTTCCTTGACAAATCACCTCCCTGGCATACCACAGCATGGTTGGGAGGAGATGGTTTAGGCTCCTTTTCCTAACTTTGGCTGGAGAAAGTAGAAAGGACCTTATTTGCAATGTTCTTATCTCCCCATATGCTGCCCCAAAGCATGTTCTCTCTTTTACCTGATTTAGAGCTCAGATGGGGAACTGTGGTACAACTCACATTTCAGGCTAGGAAAACGCCATGGGAAACAGCAGGCCTAGCTTGTGATAGCTGAAGAGGGACTACAAACCCACTGATACTTGGCGCAAGGGGTTATGGGTAAAGGGATACTATAGCACATCTAAAGTGCCAAGAAGAAGCTGGGATAAGATATTGTGGGAAATTAAGACATTCAAAAGCAGCTGTACATTTGGGGGAACTGAAAAAAATTACAGACACAGTCCCAGGCAAAATACATGCTCAGAAAAAATAAAAAACAAGACCTTAAAGTTTTACCCTATACTGATTCCAAGTCTTAAAATATGCCATGCTAATTATTCAAGGTCTTTCTTATTATTCTGCAAAGACTGGGAAAAGTTTCTCTTTTTTGTTAAAACGCCCAATTTTCAATGACAAAAAAAAAAAATCACAAGGTATACAAAGAAACATGAAAACATGGCTCATTAGAAGAAATCACAGAAATCAACCTTCCATATACACAAGTATTAGACTTACTACACAAAGACTTTAAGACAACTGTCTTAAATATGCTCAAAGAGCTGAAAAAAAAGACACAAATGAGAAAACTAAAGAAAATCAGGAAAACAATGTATGAACAGAATGACAATGTCAACAGAGATTAAAATTATTTTTCAAGAGAAGAACTAAACAGAAGTTCTGGAGCTGCCAAACTATAATAACCAAATAAAAAAAAATTCACTAGATATGATAAACATCAGATCTGAACAGTCAGAAAAAAGCATTAACCAACTTGAAAACAGGTAATTTGAAATTATTGTATCTGACTAGCAAAAATAAAAAAAGAATGAGGAATCTGCCTCACCCAGGAA